CAAGACTTTTTTCACTTTGATGTTCCTTCCCCTCTGTGAAGCCTGAAGTCAACTAAAGGGATAATGATAGCCATCAAAACGCCTGTCATTTGATATAAATAATTTTAAAGTTCTAAACAAACGATGCATTTCACTGTTCGGAATACTTGGAATAATAACGTTTTAAAGACTTCCTACATAATGAATTCCATACTTAAGTCTCTTTGTCATTCAAATTTGCTCTTGCCTGACAATTTGAAGAGAGTTCAACTGCGCACGAGACTTGGCAAAATGTTGGGTGGCAATTGCATAAAATTTAAGCCGAGATAAACAAAAAACTATATTAACTAAAGCCGTTCAAAGTTGTTATAAGAGGGGAAAAGCACCAGCAAAGCACCCCAAGCATGCACGCTTTTTCAAATTTTCCATCTATCAACAACTCAATAATAACTAAGATAATTGAATATGTGCCAAAAGCTTTTTCCAGCTTATTTGGAAAATTTAAATGTATTCAATAAACCCCAATAAAGATTCGGAGCAGGAAGATGGAATTTCGATCAAATTAATGAAATTTTGCTTAGTAGTCTAGTATTATTGAAATTAGTCGCTTAAGTCCATTCTGGGAGGTCAATAATTTCATGACATCTGGAAGAACATATTGTGTACTATTTCGGCTGAAAATAAAGGATCTCCTCAGTTACCGAAACGAACAATTTCCTTAATTGCTTCAAAGTGCAACAGAAGTTTATGAAGAAAATTCAATAAAGTTTCTTTCCACAAAATTCAATTAAATTACCCTCTTGATGTTCGTATTGCAGCCTACGTCTACTATGAATGGGTTCTCTTTACGCTGCTCTTCCGCTTTCTTAAATGGCAGTTCCTCATTCTACTGTCTTCAACACCAAAAGTTTACTCAAGGCAGATTTAGCTGAATCGATATTATCACTTTCTTCAGTAGAATCTCGAAAATTAAGATCGTTACTTCAGAGGCGTCAGAATACCTCAGCCAAGATTGAATCACAGGAGCCAGCTCCTGAATGTATTAATCAGCAAATTCTGAGGATAATCGCTGCATAAGAACAGAAGATTTTGATTAAAACAATGAATTTACAATATACTGTCAATTATCATAAAAAAATATATGCATAATGGCTGTAGAGAATTTCTTTTGGTATGCGAGTTATGGATTTTGTTGACCATTTTGAATGCTAATGTGGAAAGAAAGCAAAAAAATTAAAAAGCAAATACTCAGATTTGATTAAAATTTGCGGATTCACAAACTTTTAAGATTGTTTTAAATACCCCTTTTAACTTGTCAGCATTAAGAGGGGGAAATTAGTGTAAAGTGACAAGTAGTGAATTTCGACT